CCAGGAGGGAGGGGAAAACTCCGTACTTTTCCTTCGGAGCGCGCATGTACAGGGTGATGTCCTAATATGACGTCACGCGTGCTCCTTAGCAACCGCGAGCGAACACTCAGACAACGAAGAAAAACAATGACTTTTGGAGATTCGTTTGGGCGGAGAAAATTGCAGAAAAAAGATGCCAAATTTCCATTAACAACTAATTTTTATTAGTGAGTGCATTCTTTTACTTTCTAAAATCTGTTCCTTGTCATTTTTTTTCTAAACTGCTTTTTTGTTCTTTTTGAAATGTGAATTTTACTTCTTATGCTTCAGTCGAGTGATCTGACTTTTTCTTGACTCGAGAGAATAATCTCTTTACAAAAATGATGTTTTTCTCGTGAACTAAGAATTTTTCAACCACCAAAATAGGACGTTTTATAGACATGTAATTACTTTTGGAAATGATCTGGGTTTTATATGAGGACGTAGTCCCGAACATCATATCTTTTTCCTCAAAGTCATCCTTCAGCTAATTCTCATTTTACTTGTTCAGTATTCTACGAATATATCGAATAGAATATATCATTGTATGTCTCTATTCTTGTTGTATTATTGTTAAAAAAGTTAATTGTGTGAGTTATTTATTGCTGCATGTCAAACAAGTGTAAAAATTAGGTACTTATGTGAAACGCTTTAAAAATCRCGCCCTTTTTGATAATTTTTTTTCAATCTTATTTTGTTCGAAGATTTATTTTTCAACAATTAATAAACACTACTATTTTTATATTTCTAAGACTTTTCCACTTTATTGGGCATTGTCAATATTTTACGATGCTCAGTATGACATTTTTAATTGACTTGTTTCTTCATCCTGGTCAGTATAGATTTTTCCTGGTGACTATATCATTTTGCAAATTTTATACCATTTTGTCAGCTAGTCATTTATCTAGAAAATCMAGACCTTTTCAGATCTTATGATAAAATGGCATTCACGATCTTATAAATTGYTGTCTTTCTACAACAATATATTTCTTACAATCCACAGTTTTATTCCTTGTACATTTTTTACATGTTTGCTCAGAACAAGGTGACTTTGCAAACCCTTTGATTACAGAGAAGTTCTCTGACCTTGTTTTGCCATATAGGCTCTTTATATTGTTTGTGTCTCTTTTATTGGGCTACCAGCTTTGAGAGGAAAGAAATCTTTTCATGCAAAGAGAATATCATGAAGATATTTCCAGGTTTCTTTGACCTGATCTTTTGCCTGGAACATTAACTTTGAGAACTATTATCTTTCTTACCTCTATACTTAGCTTTATGAAACATACCTGGACAAAAAGGAATTTTTTTAAAGTTTTGCATCAAGAAAGTCAAGTCAAAGTTTTTTCACACTTTATTGGTTGGTCTGTGTCAAGTGCTTTTTTACAACATTTACGTTTTAGGCTGNGTTATTGTACATTTTTATTGATCATTGTCGGTCATAGTAGATTTTTATTGGTCGTTGTAGGTGGTTGTAGATCGTTGTAGGTGGTTGTAGATCGTTATAGGTGGTTGTAGGTCGTTCCTCGTTTTAGTAACTACGTCAACATTTATCAAATTTTGATATTCATTGTACTGCTGTGTATCTTTAATGGGATTTTGCTAAGTGTAGAAGAATTTTAATGGACTTACGATGGATTATGAATTTTGCAGATATCATGGAATGTCGAGCGTTCACACTGCTATGAGGTGAGTGAAGTGCATATTAAGTAAATATTATGTGTATTATATAAATTCATGTCCATTACTTCTAAATCCAGTCCTTATCAAAAATAAAATTAAATCTCACCAAATTGTGTATACCAATAAATCTCTTTTATAAAGAGAACTAACTTWGTGATCTTCATATCTTGGAAAACTAGCACAACTTTAACTTCACATTTTCTTCGCATAACTCAAACAAAACCCCATCTACTACCTTTATATAGAGGAAGGAATTTTCTGTTTATTCTCCTTCTCGATATTTGTTTCACGATTGTCAATCCGTTTTAAAGTGYTATGACGCCTGACACAATAATTTATGATTTTCTTTGAGCTGATTCTATATAAATTAAAAAATTTAATAGTGAAATATTCCTATATTTAAATGTTGCGTCTTTGAGTTATGAAGGTTCAATCTTATAATGTTAATGAAAATGACTTCAAAGAAGGATTCATTATATATACGAACTTTGAAGGAGCCGCTTTAAGATGTTTTCATGACATTAAATTTATCGTTATAACYATATTCCCAGAAACATTTTTGAGCAATTGTTTCAAAATTGATTACAGTATTGCTGGTAATTTATAACATTCCTAATATTCAGAATAGTCATTCTCCTAGTGCTCACTAGAGCGGATTTCGTATGAGTGGGAAACGGACGGTACTGTACTGTAACCGTAATCGTACTGTAACCAAATTCTAGTGCCCCATTGTTTCACCAAAATTCTGCAGGCCAGGTGCGGTAACCGTGCGGTAACGGTGTCCCACTCATACGAAATCCGCTCTATTAGCTGGATCACTACAGGTCTTTTCCAATTTACCTTTTATTTCCATTTATAGCCTTAAGGTGGATCACTCTGATAAAAATTTTTAGGATCTTTGAGACACAATCTGGACAAGTTTTAAAAAATTCCTTCAACTTTTTTGGGGGGGCCTTTTTTGGCAACGTTTACTGTTCTTTGGAACAGTGAAGTACATGGCAAAAATGACGAAAAAGGMCTTCCGCTCCAAGGATCTTTTTAAAACATGGATAATTTTTTTTACCTTTTTGGCATTTTGTAGATGATGATCCCACCTTAACTTTGTGTTCACTTCATGTCTGCAGCTTTCATCTACTAGCCCGTGCAAAGGCCTGTGTGAATGATTATCGTGCTGCCCTTCAAAATGAAAAGCTAGCTTATGGTGTTTATAAGTCCAAGGTATGTTCATCTATCAACATCTGCTATGTATAGTTTGCAAAATGAACGGCCATGTTGTATGTTATAGATGCAATATGAGCATAGATGTCAGGGTATGAGGATTTAAAACAGGCGAGCTGCTTTTGAGCATGAGCGGTTGAGCTCAATATGTAGTCACAATAATCCCACTGGTTGGGAACAGTGAATGAGAGTCTAGTGAGACTTCTCTATTTTCTGTCAGATTCAAAATCTAGTAAAGGCCTATGGTGGTCACATTCAGTGTTTTAAGTGATATTTAAAAAACGATAAAATATCCACGATAAAACATGATAAAACACGAACTACGAGTTTTTTAAATGATTTCTAAAACCCAAACCTAAAATAAACTACATTGTTATATTGGTAAATTATTTTCACTGTTTTCTCGCTCTCTTATTGGACRATTCGGTGTCACGTGTCCGGAGCTAAAATCAACTGTTGACTGTTGACCGCAGAATGGCTTGCAGGACTTAAAGGATGAATGAGCTACTTATCAGTCCTTACAAAGACCCAGCACCCATTTAGAAAATATCGGATTTAGTATCGAGTCTTATGATAAACTTTAGCTCCCATACGTGTGGGACATTATGTTTCATACAGCTATTTTAAAAAAACGTTGTTGGGGAGAACGGCCGTGTCGAAGGGAGATGCACGACCGAAACTATGGTTACACTGTTTTAATAAACAAAATTTCACTTAGTGGATTCGCCTTACATAGAAATGGAGACTAAATGGAGCCATTACAAATCAGTTGTTATTGCCTTTCAACTAGCAAAACCCATGGGTACTTTCAGTCGTACAAGGGAATACAAAGGAATCAAGACGAGGCGCCGTGCTAAAGACAATAGATTTTTCACAAAAAAGCACGGCGCCTCGTCTTGATTCCTTTGTATGTGACTATTGATGCGTAATTCGCAAGTCGGCTATTACTTCGGCACACAGCATTCGTAGGTATAATGCAAGCATTATATACGAACCTGCGTGCCTCAGTAATTATTTTTCTTGAATACTTAATGAACTATACTTCTATTTCATTTATTTCTAACTTTGAATTTGTTGGTAGATATGAAATGTTCAATTTTCTTTTAAAATGGTTTTCAATAAGCCTCGGAGCTCATCCATTATCCTATACATAATGATGTCAAAACCATTTTCTTTCTATTTGATATGACTAGTCGTTTAAATATTTCAGTTTGGAGAAGATGATCCCCGCACAAGAGAAAGTTATGATTACCTGAAGCACTGTACTAGACAAGCAGTTGCCATTCAGAAAAGGGTTAGTAAAAGTCATTTGGAACTTTGTTAGCTTATTTCAAAACATTCAAAAGTGCTAAGGAAACTTTTGCTTCAGAAAAATAATATTCAAATATTTCAAGGATAGCCAGTCAGTAGATATATGTTATCCTAATGTGTCACGAAAGCATGGGAAGTGTGGCAACTCAAAACTAAAAGGGGTGCTAAGGACTAAGCCCCGCGCTATACGCTGAACTTCACATGTGCCGAATACAACTCCTATTTTAGTCGACGTAAGGTATCTGGATACAGTTGTTTAGAACTCCGACCGGACGAAAGAAACGGGTAAAAATTAATTTAAGTTGGTCAAATCTTAATAATATTTTACTACATGATTAACAAGGGATTCAAATTSATATTGAGTAAAGTTTGTAAACATTGGGACTTAATTTATGCGTTTTATGGGGAAATTCAGGAAAATGTTTTGACATATTTTTCAAACRAATTAAGCCTATTTTTTTCCGCGATAACTCAGGGACATAATATTAGAGGTAGTGCCTAAMGATTACTAAAGTTTGGTGGAAATTCATCTAAGAAAGATAACATCATGTTTGCCTTAAYTTGGAGCAAGAATTTTCAAAGAAAAAGAGCGTGTATCAAATAAAAAAATTACATTTTACTTTGTATCAAATATGTATTGACCGATTTCTGGAAAAGAACTTACCTATCATATTGCTACGTTCATGCAGAGTTTCGGCGTTGTACACCAATAGTCTTCTTCACGGTTACCTTCGCCATCTTTAAAGGTAGCCGTGCCTTTGCATCAAAGCGAGACAACCGTTGAGCGTGCAAAGATAGAAACCTGTGAATAATTGTCTGTAGGTGTGAAAGAAGGTTACATGAAGATTCTCGACCCTTAAATTGTTGTTGATAAACGTCTCGGCCGAATTTAACCAACTACGTAGAAAACAAGATTTCAAGCAAATGGTTGTGAATATGCCCTTTGGATCTTCAGATAAGCTATCAAAGTGCTGAAATTTACTATTTTGTGTATAATTATAATTTGACTCGTTGTCATATGTTGTTCAGACTCACAACGGAAGCATGAAGAAGTCTCGCCGATCCGACTAATTCGTTTCGAAAACCACTTTACGTATGTTTTATTTATCCATGTTCGTGACAATTCAAAAAATGTATTCACTCGCGCTAACGTACTATTACATTGTAATATTTGATATATAGTTTATTGTGTGGTTAGATATCGATAATACTTTCCGCTACGGAAACTGGCAAACACTCGCAATGGTGCCGTACAGATGGTCGGGATTCATTCGAACCAACTTTCATTTAATTCACCGTTACATAAAAAAGATTATTTCCTGGGACTCGAACCGGGGCCGTCTGCACTCAAAGACCACGTTTTATCCGGTAGTATCGTCGTGTAGCGGGTAACCAAGTACGTCATATGTTTCCGAACAAACGAGTGGGAAATATTTTGAGGTTTTTGGTTATCCTCACTTAGAAAAAAAAATTGATCCCGCAGATAAGATTCGAACCTGCGAACCCTAAATATGACCTATCCGATCATTAACCCTAAACCTAACCGGTTACGCCACGAGTGAATTCGCTTGGTTGYACTCCTTTTTTTCTAGTATTTAAACAATTTCTCATTAGCATTTCACTAAATAATTAATATATRAGAACGACGTGAACACGAATTATGGTCGGGATAATTTGYATACGGTAAATTTACATTACAATATACTCCCCTGAGGTTTCCCGTACATGACGATAATACCTATTAGAGAGTCACTAGATCAGTCCTGTCTTACTGTCTGAACCACTTGATATTGCGATATTATCGGATAACATCAATTAGTATAATTTCATAAGTGAAGTGAATATTGGATTTTTTCGCAAAATGGCGTCGTTCGCGAGTCGTTGGATTAAACAATTGGATTAAAAAAATTGGATTAAACAAGTGTCTATCAAAGTTTTACGTGCCCATAAGGAAGAAAAATGCCAATTATTACAAGAAGACGACTTTGCTGTCAATCCGAGCGGCCCTCGACCGCCATCTTCAATCCCCGCCACATAACATTTTACGAGAAAATGCAGTAGTTCTTTTTTTTCTATTTTTATGAATATTCACTTATGAAATTATACTAAAACAATTATTCACCTCAGGCTCAGTGATTATATAATTGTTAATTATTACATCTATTAGATTGTCACTAGATCAGTCCTCTCTTACTGTCTGAACAACTCGATATTGCGAGATTATCGGATAATATCAATAATTACATCTATTAGATATCAAAAATTATCCAA